CACACACACACGCGCTGACTGTGTAGCCGGCAGCGTTCCGGGAAGGGGATCAGCTCAATGGAGCATCAGTGTCTTTGGAGACGGAGGACTGGCCGGTGGCTGTTTTCCTGCAGTTTCTCAGCACAGAGGCCGCCCCCAGGTCTGCCGGAGGTCACTGCCTGTTCTTTTCTTTATTGCCTGTCGACCTGATGCGCGTCAGCTGTCTTCCTAACGGTTACGTGGCGCCACGCCTCCGGGATCATCTACTTCCCCGTCTGCATTACCAGGGGGGAGACGGGCTGAGGAGCAGGAGACGTTAAAGTGACGGGGCCCAGATTTGGGCATGTGGTCGCTGCTTGGTCTGAAAGCAATTAGTGGGCGGTCCCTCTCGTGGAGATGAAAATCTTCATGCGTGTGCACTGCTGTTACATGCGTCTCCAACGAGAGTGGCACTGTTATGACCAGACTAGCGGTCTGTGCTAAGAAGACCCACGATACTCAGTCCTTCACTTCAGAACCACTCTGAGCACCTCCTGGGGGGTCTTAGTGCCAGCCTCCGCCTGTAGCTCCCATGATGCGGGCACAGGGCGTGGGGAGGGCTGCCTCCTTCCTCTCCTTATTCCAATGAGCCGTTCCTCCAGCGCCAGTAGCGTTTGGGCTTCCTTATTCAGACTTGACAATAGTGAAGCAATACCTAGTCACCTGAGGGAAATTTAAAACACTGAAGCAAGAAGAGAGAAATAAAAGTCATCTGCAATCACAATAGATTCAGACACTATTGCCATCGGGCGTGGAGTCTTTCTGATGTGTACATACACACACACACACACGGGATCCCTCTGTGAAGACGATTGTATGATCTCCGTTTGAGGTGTAATTTACACGCAGTAAACGGGCTCCCTGGCAAGCAGTGCCATGGGTGTGGACAAATGCGCAGAGTTGAGCGACATCCCCAGGCCGCTCACCTGCTGCTGTGTGCTTTGCTCGCATCACAAGCACGTTTCTGTGACGAAAGGTTGATCGGTGTCGCTGTTTATTCAGTGCGCTGCATTCCATCAGGTGGGTGCGAGCTGGCTTACTCCTCCGCGGAGACGTTGGCCACCGCTCCCTCCACCTGTCCCCCGGGCCGGAGGGAGACAGCCCCTGGCGGGGAGACGGCTGCGCAGGAGGGGCTCATGGCCGCCGGCTCCCTAACCCGGCCGCACACGGCACGGGATGAACTTTGGCCCCAGGACGTGCGGAACGGAGGGGTTCTGGCTCAGTGGGACCTTCTGGTCAGCTGAGCGAGGCCCTTTGGGTCTCTTCCTTGGTAGTGGACGCTTGCGGGGCCCGGCTATAGGGCCCAGGTGGCTGCACTGGGCGGTGCTGCCTGTGTCAGACGTGACTGACATTTCCAGCCCGCGTGGCCCTTGGTCGGGTGTGTCCGCATCTGACGGTCACTGGTGTGTCTGCAGGCACCTGTGCCACACGGGCGCGTCTGGGGGCATCGCCACCCCTGTCTGCCTGCTGCTGCTGCTCAGAAACCCTCCTGGTGCCAGGCCACAGGGTGGTCCTTGGTCCACTGTGGAGGCTCCTCCTTGGCCTTCTCACAGGAGCGGTGGACAGAGGGCGACCCGACACCCCTTGTCTGAGAGGAGGTTTTGGTCAGGCCCGATGCCTCCAAGATGGAGGCGTGAGTCATGGGAGGGACAGCCAGCCCTCGCTGTGGCCTGGCTGACCATCAAGGCCACGGCCACAGGAGAGGACACCGAAAGCGCTTCTCACGTTGGACCCTGGTCACTGCCACCCCATCCTCACCTAGGCTGAGTCAGAGAGACTAGTGTGGTGGAGGACCCTGAGCTTTCAAAATTTTGAAAGTGGCAGAGCGACTTCCCTACTACTTCTTTTATCCTTATCCTATATAATAAAAGGCTAATATGCAAATTGAAATTCATGCACCGGGCCTCTAGTTTTTAAATAAAGAAGCATCATGAGTCAGTCCAGATGAGTGACAGATAAACACACAGATTCCTGGGTTAAGCCAGGATGATAGACGGGGTGGGGCAGGAAGGGACTGAGTCCTGCCTTCCTGCTCCCCCTGCTTCCTCTCACAGTGTTCTTTCTAGAAGGATCCACAGAAGAGCTTTCTCACAGGTCTCGCTTTCGGGAATCTTTGGGATTTGTGTGTGTACCTGACCTATGTTATGTTATGGAGGCCAAGACTATGCCCCTCTCTGCACTGACCCCTGGAAAGCACAGAGCGAGGTTATAGGCATCTCTCAGAACTTCCCCACATGTTACTTGAGTGCAAACTGTAGACATTTAGTCAAGAGGCCAGGTATCACTTCCACCTTGCTTTCCCTTCCTCTGGCTTTCCCTTTGCTTTTATTGACTCTTCTATCTAACCCATGTATCAAATGCATAATTATATTAAAAAATAAGCTAACAGGTAGTTGTCAACAACCATGGTGTGACGGCTCACCTCATTGGGGTGGAATCCATCGACGGGTTCGAGGAGCTGCCAGGGCTGCCCGCCTCTCTTCTGCCACTTCTTTATGACTGCAGGGCACACACACAGCCAAAGGGTTAGAGCAGGGACTGTCGCCAGAGCTGCCCGCTGCCTCCCGAGCCGGGCTCACCACCGGGCTGCCCATGAGACGTTATCTCGTGTTGGAGGAACTTTCTGAACAGAGATGATCTTCCCACTGTGTGATTGTTGTTTTCCTAACTTGGGAGGAACACGTGTGCGAGTGGATGTGGTTGTGTGGCGGGGCCAGGTGAGCTCTGGAATATTCGGCACCCGTTCCAGTCCCTCTCGTTTCCCAGTGGCCAGTGGGGCAGCATCGCAGAGGCAGGAGGGGGAGCACACGTGTGTTAACATCGCCGTTCACGGCTGCCCTTTCCACACCTGCCTGCCTGTGGCAACCCGTCGTCATCAAAAATCCTACAGGGCATCGGAAATATGATTACGTACAACATGCTGATGATCTCAACATCACAACCCGAGTGATGAAAAGCAAGACAGCCTTCACCAGGGCTGACAGGCCAGGAGTGTCTGTTGCTCGAGGCAACAGTATGAACCCTACATGGTAGTAGCCTTGTCTGTGAGAACGCCTGAGGGAAACGCACCTCCTTAGAGAGCCTCCCAGGAGAAAAGCCTGGAACCTGCTGCCCCAGAGTGGCCCGGGTGCTCACTCCCCGACATCCAGAGAGGGGCGCAGTCATAGCTACGTTTCTCCAGTTCTTCCTTCTTCAGCCCACAGAAAACTCAAGGGCAGGGACCCGTGCCCTCTTTGTTTCTCCCCCTCTCTTTTTTAAAAAATGTATTTTTAAATTGATATTTAGAGAGAGAAGAAGGGTGGGGGAGAGAGAGAGAAACATCAATGATGAGAGAGAATCATTGATCGGCTGCTTCCTGTACGCCCCCTACTGGTGATCGAGCCCGCAACCCGGGCCTGTGCCCTGACTGGGAATCAAACTGTGACCTCCTGGTTCACAGGTCAAGGCTCAACTACTGAGCCACACCTGCCAGGCTCTCTTTGTTCTTCATGACCGATCATGAATGACCTCTTGGGATGTGTCACATGATGTATTTTCTTTACCTGGGAAGTCAGAGAGACTCGGCTAATGATCTGCTGTTCAGAGCAGCAATAGACGTCCTGGGCAGAGATTCATAGACCACGTGTGGCTCTTTAATGGCCAGTAACACTCTCAGGTATTTAAGAAGGGAAATCCGCATGTGGGTCTGCACCATAAGGTCCTTGGTTGTTTCTGTAGGTACATGGCAGGATCTGAGACACGGGTGCACTCCAGAGGCGTTGCCACGGAAGCGGAGGGTAGCGGGCAGTGTGTTCCAGCGGTCAGTGTGGAAATGGCCTTGTCAGCCCAGTGGCACTTTCCTTCCTCTGTGGGAGGTGTGGCGCAGATGTGGATAAGGACCTTTGCCCGCTCAGATGCCCTTTCCCAAAGGGGGAAATCGCTGCTCTGTGTGGCTCATGGCCAGTTGGGGGAGGGAGGGGGGTGAGTCAGCGAGAGACAGCCTCTGGAGACAACCACCATCTTTCAGGGCCGGTGGGGTGTCCCAGTGGAGAGCAGATCGCTCTTGTGCCCACCCTCGGGGGGCAGGCCCTCAACTGAGATGTGCTCTGTGGCGGGGTGTGAAATGATGAATTTCACATTAAAAAAGAGGCTATCGATGATGCCCCAGTTCAAATGCAGCACAGAAAGGAGAGATTTCCATGGGACTGTGAAGACTGCAGGTTTGATAAGTGGGTCTTCATTTCTCATGAAAGGAGACCACAGTGATAGATGCATTTCTACCACAGCTTCCTCTAAGCAACTCAGCGTGGTCCACAGGTTTGTTAGTGATGGAGCTGAGTCGGACATGGAAAGAGAATAGCCTGGCTGGTGTGGCTCAGTGGCTGAGTGTTGGCCTAGGAACCAGGAGGTCACAGTTCGATTCCCGGTTGGGGCACATGCCCGTGTTGCGGGCTCCATCCCCAGTGTGGGCGTGCAGGAGGCAGCCGATCAATCAGTGATTCTCTCTCATCATTGATGTGCCTATCTTTCTCTCTCCCTCTCTTTCTCTCTGAAATAAATTATGAAAGAAATATATTTAAAAAAATAAAGAGAATAAACATTTGTTCTCCAGGTCTCATGAGTCCTGGGAAATGGTAGCAGGTACTCCCCATGCACAGGTGACCGTGGCGGGTGGTGGGGAGGGGATGCCCCTATGCCACTGCTGAGCCCCTACTCTGTGGCAAGGCGCCTCCTTCCATGAGCCCTGTTGCCATTATTGCCACGTTGCTCAAAAGGAGACAAAAGCTGGGTGGCTGTTTCATGTGCTTGAGGGTGGTTACTCGGGGTCTGAGTTGGGACAGGCACACAGTTCTATCCCGTGGTAAATTCTGGCCTTTTCCTGGAAGGGCACATGCACCCCCACAGGGCAGACCAGATTGCCAGGCTGTGAGCCTCCAGGCGTGGGTGTTCCCCACAGAGACGGGCCTAGGAGCGATGGTCCCTCTGTCTGCTCTGGAACATGCTAAGCTTTCAAGGTCAAAATTCCCCTTGCAGTAGCGGAACTTGGGGCATATGTCAAGTTCTCGATACAGTTCCTGGAAACTAGATAAACTTCCGGCTCTTTCAGGCAGACACTGGGCGCCTGGATGTTAAATGTGGGGTGCTGCATCGGCTGATCCCAGGGTGGATCCCGGCACCGGTCCCTCTGCCTCCGCTCTCCCTCCCACCGCGTCCGTCTGTCCTCCCCAGGGCAGTGTGCATGGACTTCATGTGGAGAAGGTGAGGGAGGCCCTGCACCCAGCGGGATTGTCCTATTTGTTTTTGTCAGAAAATTACAAAACCTCAGGAAGGTCCTGAACTGTCGATGAGGATCGCTAAGCACGAGAGACAGAGGAGGCTTCCCGGCGAAGTGCCGACCACCATGTGTTTAGAACGTTCAGTTCTAACTGGACTCTTTTAATTTATTTTTTTTTGCTTTGTTACTGCATTTATTGCTGTTCTGAGGACAGGAGTGGGCTGATGACCTCTCCTCACAAGCATCAAGGTCATCAATGGAATGCTGGCCGGGACTGGGCCAAGGGTCAAGGTCTTCTGTCTAAAGTCTAGACCAGCAGTTCTCAACCTGTGGGTCGCGACCCCTTTGGGGGTCGAACGACCCTTTCACAGGGGTCGCCTAAGACCATTGGAAAACACATATATAATTACATATTGTTTTTGTGATTAATCACTATGCTTTAATTATGTTCAATTTGTAACAATGAAATTGGGGGTCACCACAACATGAGGAACTGTATTAAAGGGCCGCGTCATTAGGAAGGTTGAGAACCCCTGTTCTAGACCCTTGGTGAACATAAGGACTGTTCTGTTTTGTTGAGCACTAGATCCCCAGCACCTATACAGCACATGGTAGGACAGACATAGCAAAAACCTGATGCCTAGCCGACTAATAATCTTAACCTGGCAGCATTGTAGAGCCTCATTTATTAAATTTTAATGTGCATGGGATTGTCTATGGACTGTGCTAAATGCAGATTCCTAGGCCTCAGTGAGGAGCGGGGCCAGGATTCTGCTGCTCACCCCAAACCACACGCTGGGTAACAAGGGTGTGATGGCAATGGTGCTCTTTCCTGGGGACCGGCAGTGTCCCAGGCATGGCATTGAGGGGGGTCACATGTTCCTATAACCATGGCTGAGACGTGTTCTGCAGATATGCCTGCCCCCTTTTCAGGTCTGGGCCGGAGCATTCAGAAATGCACAGGGACCTGCCTGCAATCCCAAAGGTAACAAAACACAGAGCTGGGGGCTCCCTTAGAAAGTGAGGACACTCTCTGTGCATGTTAGACGTTATTATATTTTTAATAACTTCATCTATGTTCAAGGTTGACGATGATCAGAGATCCCTTGGTGCATATTTGT